GTGACCACGTGTGGTGTGGTGTTTGTTGCGGTGGGGGGTGCCAAAAATCCCTCAGCGCCCCCCCCAGCCCTCCTGGCCATCCCGCCGCCTCTTCGCACGGAGACACCACATTTTGAGGCAAAAAAGGGGGTTTTCTGGAGTTTGCGGGTTTTTTTTCAGCCACTGCGGAATGTCCCGGCTCTTGGCAATTCCCCACCGCTAATTATTGTCATTATTTCCGCGCTGGCCCAGCGCAATAGGTGCTGCTTGGCTCAGCGATTCAGAGACAGACAAATAAAATCTCTGCCTCCGTTTAGGGCCCCTGTCTGGTCGGAAGTCCAAGTTCAATTCCAAGTTAAAACAGGAGGTCGCCTGAAGCGCTGACAAAAGAAAAGGGGGCCATTTGGTCTGGCCGGTGTCAACAAAGTGGGAGCTGGGGAGCGTGATTAGCGCTGCTCATCACTTTTTGCCTTCATATTCTCGGGGAGAGGAAGAGGGAGAGGAGCCGGGGATGCTCAGCTTCTTTGTAGCCATTTGCGCTTGCAGGAGGCTTTATTTTTCCCCTCCTAAATGTCATTTTATTTCTTTATTTGTAACTGCTCTAAAATAGAGGGGGTTTCTTGGACTTTTTTTGTTGGTGGTTTTTTTTTTTTGGCCATGGGATTGCAGCGATCCGGTGTTATTTTCTCCCCCATCTCCTGGTGCAGTTAGCTCAAGATGCGTTTGGAAGGACCGAGACTAACGCCAGGCCGACGTAAGAAAACTTCTTTTTTTTTTTTTTTCCCCCCACCCAAATATTGTTCAGAATCAGTTAAATGAGAGCTGTGTGTTCGAGGCCGTTTCTCCCCTTCATCCGACCCAAACCATTTACTTCTCGACGTCCAAATACTTCATTCCTCGGAGCTGCTCGGAGGGATTGGGAGGGAAGAGTGGGAGCCCTTTGCCAAGTTTATTCCCATTTTCAAAACCAAAAGAGTTTCACTTCCAGAGGTAGAGGCTGAACTTCAGCGAGCTGTGTTTGCCCAACTGGGGCTGAGGTGTATGAAACAGAGGAACAGAAACGCTGCGCAGGCACCCGGTGCCCACACGCTCACACCGAGCTTAAAAATGTGACGCAATCTCCATTTCTAAGCAACATGGTGATGGGAGAATTGTCCCTCTCTGTGGAAAACCTGGGATTTATTAGGCATGAGCTGGGGAAAACGTGTACGCAATAAGCAAAGAAGCAAGAAAACAGGAAAAAGAAAAAAAGAAAAAAGAGAAAAAGCCCGATGTTTCTCTTCGAAAAACATTTTTGGTAAATGGAGAGAACCCAGACTGTTCCAAAAAATTATTCGCTGGGCTGAATTTTAAAGAAGGAATGATTCGGGAAATAAAGGGATACAGGACTCCACCTTGGCAAGGAGAGGCCGAAATCGCTGTCTTTTCCCCCCAGAACGGGCGCGGGCTGTGGGTGGGTTGGGCCGTTTTCCTTTTTGCAGGATCTTTACCCGCCTGGGTGGGAAAAACCTGGATTTTCCCTCAGGAGCGGGACCGAGCCTCCAGCTCAGGTGCGGCGATTTCTCCTCCGTGGCGACCAAAAACACCGATCTCATTTCAATGCTCAGAATTTGTCCTAACCGCCAAGAGCCTGATGAAATTCTTCTTTCGCGAGGTTAAACCACAAAATATGGATTTTTGGGGGGTTAAAGATGGGCTGAGAGAGC